AACGATGACGTAGTTGAATATTTTTCTTTGAAAAATTTACTTTTCAAAATTGCTAGATACTCGTGCATAAGTATAAAATTCCATTCTTTTATTTTTTAGGAAAACATTTTTAATATGATCGTGATATGCATTTTCATGCATGTTTAATTCATGAATTGAACTATTAGGAATGTTATTTATCTAGAAACTAAAAGTATTTCTTTTATTTAGCGCCTCCCAAAACTAAGCCCACTAAGCCCAGCTTTCTTCTTTAGGCATGCAACCACTTCAAACTACACATATTGTTGATATACTCACCTAGACGCATCATCCATATTCTCGTATATTCTCACCACAACGCTATCATTATTCATAATTTGCTTGTTTTAATTCTGCCTTTCCCTTTTCATAATCGGGGAATAGACGTAGGCTGGGGTTCCACCCCTATAATGTGGATATTCCAAGAATTCGCCCAAAGCATTTTCCTTGCTATTAATTTATATGGCGAACGGCTATGGAGTGGAATTCCCTACCTGCAGACTATTCCCTGAACGCTATAACTTGACCCTTTTCAAGGCGAGAGTGCATAGTTATTATTTAGGTGGGCACAATCCATCGTCGACCTCATCGTCACTTTTCATCAGGTGAGAAGGGAGTTAAATGCACACTTACAAAAAAAATATTTATATAATCTGTCATGTACATTGTACACCAAACGCCCAATGTACATTAAAATCTTCTAATATAGCAAGTAAGCTCTCAGTTTGCCCCAAACGCAACCGAGATTTTTAAAAACTTTTTCTAACCATATACATATAACGTATAGCGCTTGAATGCGATATTTTAAGCGATCATAGGATCTGGGTCTGATTCACTTCCCTTACCTACATATATTTTGATGTACCAGGAGCCTTAAGAGGATATGTGCTTAGTGCGTAGACTTGAATGTACTTATCCATAACACAGATCTCTCACTAATGAGCAGTCGTTCAATGGTTCGTTTCATTTAGACTATTACATACTTTACATACATGCATATCATCACTCCTATCTCCCACCGCGTTAGGCAGAGACTATGGACCTCCACCTGTTTCGCTCCTGACAAACCTCCTTCGCCCCCTCCACTCCCATCAGTCTCTTCATACATGCCCGTTTTACTTACATTTAACCCGGCCTTTTTAGGACATCCCCGATCTGATTGAGATATATACGCCGAGGTCTACCTCTGCCCACGCCTCCATCCACATTCATTCTATAAATTTATGCCGTCAATCTACCAGCAATCATTAAACTTTACTACACCACATCAATTAACAAAATATGCATTATTATAGACAATTTCCTCTGTCGAATGATGCAACGCGAGCTCTAGTTTCATCATTATGACTTTATATATTATGTAACCTTAAAAGCAATTTTATGGAATAGTGGTTCTTAAAGCGTAAGCGTAAAGAACACTTACGTGTTGATTGTACATAGATTGGGGTTAACTTGACCATTTACTGGCAGATCGATTGACATCAATCACTGGTACTCATATCATGATCAGAAACGCATATTTTGTTGTTGATATATCGAGGCGATACTAACGCAAGTATCATTAACACCGCTAATTCGCTGTCTGCCAGACCCGCATCTGCAATATTTCATCTTCCTTCACTAACTGCCGTATCTGACGTGTTCTTTGTAACTAAGTAAAAATTATGATATAACTTAGCTTCCAAAAGCGAATAATAATGTGTCAGACCAAGTACCTGATCTCAAATTAGAGTATTCTGGTACTAAGGATACCAGATCAGAACCAATTTAATTCATTCTCATGCAACCACTGTGCAAACCGTAGAATGATAAGACAAGTAAATAAAAATATAATAAATAAGACAAGTAGGGCAATGGTCGGGGCGCATCAATACCTACACTATCAACAATTATTTTAGTCGACCTAATTATTATTTTCCATCAGGTGCTGGTGAAATTATAGGTACATGTCAACTTATGTCTCAGGTTGATAGGAGCAGTAGCAGTGCCCCTCAGATCTTTACAGAGGTTAAATGCGCACTTATTCTTTTCTAAAACAAAAGGAGGTTGTAAACATAATTTGAAAAAAGTTGGGTGTTCATCGCATTATTTCGTGCGATATTGAAATAAATAATAAATAAATAACGGTCATAGTCATAGCCCCGCTCTACGGAATCCCTGTTCCGCGGGTGCCATGGACTCATACATAGAATACCACAAATTACACCCAAACTCACGAGAGAAATAAATGTAGGCCATAAAAATATTTCTCCCGACCCGGGATCTCTGTGCGGCAGACCAGCACAGACATAATAACCTTTATCAAATGCAGTATTTATCTATTGATATTCTTATTACAGCGCCAGTGTTGCGGATTGGTATCTCGGTTATGAATGTATGATTATAGGTTACCTACCTATCAGTAGTCCGAAATGACATTTTCCAGAAATAACTTTTGGTCGAAATTTCATAACCTCGAAAGTAATTTTGAGAGAAAAATGTTTTTTCTATTAAACCTAATTTAACCTAACCTAACCGAACCCAATCGTGTCTTTGCGATAAACATTCAACATATCCTGAAAGAATAACTGTGTTGAGTTTGAAAAAATAAGGTCGATGTTATTCAATGAAGAATTTTATTACAAAAGAAGAGTTGGCTCTTGAAAATGCCCACCAAACTTGGCTGTTTGCACGCAGTTTCCTTTGCCTTTCCCTTCGATAAATTAAAAAATCTGACTTGCCACATGGTCTGTGTGCTTGTTTACAATTGTTTGTTGCAACGTATTGCGTGCGCAATACGCCCTTGACGTTGAGCTTGTCTATGTCAGAAGTATAACTTTTAATGATTGTGTTTATTTCAAAACAAATCATTTATTGTAAACGTAGAGACTGAAAATACACACAGATGACTTTAATTGACACCTTTCTATTAATCCTCTTCCCTTTCAAAATGTTTTTTCGGGTATAGATCCCACGCGGGCCCATTCCGGATTAAGAAGTTTACACACATTATCATGAAATAAAATAAAATACAAATCAGAAATAAAACTAATTTATTTGACAACAAAATTGTGCATGTAAAATGTATACGTAATAAATATGAAATACAGCACTAGAAATACAACTTGTTGCAGTGTATATCGCGCACATAGAATTGGTCTTCATTCCTGTACTAGACTAAAAACGTTTGCGCGCTACGTCCGGTTCGTATCAGTTCCGAATTCGAGAAATAATGGTCCACAAGTAACAAGGTGTACGAGCGATATTCGTATTTTCTTGGGTTGGAATCGGACTTAGTGCACAAGCGACATCCGAAATCGGTCCAGTTTCTCATTGATTGCTTTGTAGGTATGTGTGTTTCTTCAAGAAGGTTTTCCTTCACCGAAAGCTAGTAAATTTCTAATTAAGCCCGGATTCGAATACCCGACCAGTGCTTGCGTTAGGCCAAACCATTAGGCTGCTACGGCTGCAGACCTTTCTGTTCAACATTGAACAAATAATTTCGCAATTTGTTTATTTTTACATTTTTATATCTTTGCATTTAATAAATTTAAGGCATTGGAATATGATACTAATAATATCACATACTGTTATCACCGCATAATTCAAAAACATACCTACTTATAAATAAATCTGGATGAGTTACCGCAGGTCACCGGAGGAGAAGCGGGACAAATTGTTTTGCTACATCAAATGTTTTAGGTTTTTTAATACTAAATAACGGTCATACAAAAAATATACGATACACCTCATATTGTCTAAAGAATGTGCTAATGTGTTAGGCGATAGGATGTACTGTATCCGATCATATAATATACTGTAAACAGGCTAATATGAAAATCTAAAACGAATTGTTTAAGATTAAATATCTAATTTTGTACATCATTTTTATATGGAGATATTTAAGTACTAAGGGCCGTATTCCAGAACTCTACTCAATGCTCAAGTCAGGATCTGAGTATCATTTCAAGCACTAGAAATACTACCCTAAACGCAAGGACTTGAGTATAATTTCGTATTCCAGAACCCTACTCTATTGAGTAGGGTTCTGGAATACGACCCTAAGAGGACCTGCTAACTTTTGGTTTTCAACTGAAGCCCTATAGTATTAAATTAGCGTTAAACTGTATTGTTAGTTTAGTTAGTTCATACATTTAAATTTTGTTTTCTTTTTCACTATTGTATATAAACCTTAATCTTAAACTTAATTTTAACCTCTGAAATCATAGTATTAAGAGAAAGAGAAAGTTGTCTGTGGTGAGAGACCTGGTATCCTATATTACAAACTTATGCTTAGTTTAGGTACCAGTCTTTTGCAAACATAATCTAAACACTATTTTTGTCTATCTTACTTTTGTTCATGTGCAGTTGTTATGTTTGTGGAGAGAAATAAATACATTATTAATATTATTATTATTAAATTCACATTTATACCAAAATTTTAATTTTGTCCAGCGTTGCATATGCTGCTAATGGGTGCTCCTATCGTGACGTCGTATCTAATAGGTACACTGGACTAAAATTTTTTTAAAATATCAAAATTGATAAACTGAGAGTAACAATATTGTTCCACCTTTACTTTTTATACGTGTAGGCTTTTCAATATTATCACACATTTGAAATTTATTTATCAAATACAATTCCGTCTTCAGAAAATCACTGACATGCGAAAATAACAAATAAAATTACTTTTGTTTCATTGTTTATATAATATATGGAAATGCGTTAATATCTTTCACTGTAGAGGCTGATAAGCTTAGAGAATCGAGAACATACATACTACAGTACTACAATATCAATTACATATATAGGTGACAGTAGGAGCATCCAGCAGGAGCATGAGAAAACGGCCGGCTTAATGACACGCCGCGCCGTCATCTGCCTCGTCAATCACCATCGTTCTAAAATCTAGGGTCGTGTTGAAATACCTCGCTTTAATTATTTCAAGGCAGCTATAAATGTAATTTGATGTTTTACTAAATAATGTTTTTTTTTTGTTTCAGGATAGAGTTAGCGTACCATGGTTCGAGAGAGGATTTGGATCCTTACGTGCCGGCAGATCACAGACCTCATAACTCAAAGACTTCGTAAGTTTTCAAACGGCCATACAAAATAGTCGTTTAGTAGCAATAGAGCTCTCTGCGAAAGAGCCGTTCTGGGAAATACTGTCACCTTACCTATTTCGGCCGCCAAGCAGTAAAGCGACAATCACCGGTGGTGGCTAAAAGTGCTGTTGAAATGACACTTAGGACTTGTTAATATATATCTCAGGGTGACTCAAATCTAATTCGTTGCCCTGATACTCAAGGTATTATATAGTCTGAGACCAGGAAACGGTTCTGGTTGTGTGGCATATTATGATTTGCCAAAAATACTTAGATAATACGTAAGTAGCAGTAGAGCTCCTTGTGAAAGAGTTCGTCCAGGAAGTACCGCCATCTCAGCTATTTCTGCCGCCAAACGTAAGATAATATGAGCATTACTGAGTTCGGGTAGGGAAAGGTGCTGGTGAAATTACGGGTACATGGGACATGTTAACTTATGTCTAATGCAGGCTTTTAAAAAATAAGTGCGCATTTGACCTCCAACTCGCCTGATGGAAAGTGATGATGTGGTCGATGACGTAGCATGCACACCTAAGTAATGCCTATTCACTCTCGCCTTGAAAAGGTCCAAAAGATAGCAGTCGAGGAACAAGTCTGCAGGTAGGGAATTCCCCTCTCTAGCCGTTCGCCGTGTTATAAATGTGGAAGCGAAACGCTACGTGCGAAGCCTGGGAATATCCACATCATAGGGGTGAAAACTCAGCCCACGTCTAGTCCCCCGATAATAGAAAGAGGAAGGCGGAATCAAATTAAGCAAATTCATCGTACACTCTCCGTGATATATCCTGTAGGATACCGATAAGCAGGCAGCTTAACGGCGGTGTTCAAGGCTCTGCTGCTTCACCGTCACTAATTCCGAGACACCTATACGCCTCTTGACACGCCTTGTCGAATGGCTGCTCAGGTGGTTTGAAAGGTCGCGTCAGGGGAAGAATGCCGCCCGTGCCGGCGCAGGCCCATATTGTACGGTTCTATGGCGCGAGCTCGCCCGTACGTCACATGCCGTAGAAAGCCGCCTTAAGGGTGACGGGCGCAGTGGCAGTGCCCCTAGATCTTTGTGATTTAAAGCTCTAAGTGGCACTGCACTAATATGGACAGGCGTATCGCTTCCCACCACGCGACTTGTACGTCCCGTCATTTAGTATCATATTAAAAAAAATTACTAACATATTAAAAATTCCATCCACAATCCAGTGAAAGGCCTTTGCTTCAAGCGTTAGAGATTCCATTCTCATGCGCTCTTTCCCAGAAAGACGAATACGGTACCGAAGATAACACTATATGGCATTAGTACCAAGCATGAAATCAATTTGTTAGATAGGTTCGTACAACAGTTTCGAAAAGAACGCGACCTGCTGACGTATTAATAGGCGCTTTGATTGTCTACGAAAACCAAAAAGCGGCACATTAGTCACAATTCGACGGAAAGTCTTAACATCGCGTTTCAGTAATTTGCGTAATTGACCAACATCATCTAGCGTGATTTAAGGGAACTACCATTTGCTCATACTTGGCTATGGCGATGTATACAATAGGTTTGCTACAGTAAACACAATGTCAGACATTTTTCAAGTCATATAAGTAAATATATTTTTCAATACCGCTACCGTAAGGCTTTAAGCCTTCCTTAAAAAGAGCTACGAGAATTGCCATTGTCTTAAAAGCTGTTACGTCGTTTAACAAACAGCACCGCTCATTTATTTCGCATAATTTTTGCATCTATTAAAGTACATAAGATTTGTTAAGTTAATATTAATAATAGGTGCTCTATTTACAAATAACAAATAATTGTAAAGGTTGGCTATATATCTTTATTAGTATTCACATTTTATTTCGCTTGAAAAACGTTCAAATATAAAAACCGGCATTTTTTTACTTGTACCCTATTGTTTGCTAAGCGACGTTTTCTCTTTTACGGCCGTAGAACCAGAACACCTGTTTTTTTACGCTATTTCAAAGTGAACATGCTAGTTAAAAATTTCGTTGATTATTAGGTTGTTACCCAGTATACATATGTATAATGTTAAAAAAGTTTTTAGTGGAAACATGTTAAATTGTCATTTATTTTATGTAATCGTATTTTTATTTTGAATTTGCAAGAAGACTGAATGAAAGTTGGTTACCTATCAGTAGTCCGAAATGACATTTTCCAGAAATAACTTTTGGTCGAAATTTCATAACTTCAACAGTAATTTTGAGAGGAAAATGTTTTTTATTTTAAACCTAATTTAACCTAACCTAACCGAACCTAATCGTGTCTTTGCGATAAACATTCAACATATTCTGAAAGAAGAACTGTTTCGTTATAATTCGGTTTTCGGTGTAATGAAAATTCGAACAAAAGTTATTTCGGACAAAAAAATTTCGACTTTGTTTGACCAGGTGTTCTATAAAATATAAAAATATTTTTTGCCATGTTGCAAGTATATGAAAAAAAACTCTCAGACATTTTATGTAATTTTTTTCCCACATAAATCACAAACATTTATTCTGGTAAAATAAATGCAATTTGATTCACAGTTCTAACTCTCTAAAGTAAAGTTCTGATTGCAGGAGTTTCGGTGCTCTGGCGAACTTGCTTAAGGCATCGCTGGGATCAGGAGTGTTAGCTATGCCGGTTGCCTTCAAGAACGCGGGCATGCTCGTCGGAGCCATAGGAACCATCCTCGTGGGGTTGATTTGCGGACATGCCATACATATATTGGTAAGTTTTTTAAAGTATACCGACAAACAATCACTTGATTTATTTAATGAAAAATGATTAATAGAATCAGGCATTACTTTGCAGAATTCTATGTTAATGAAAAAAGAAAAAATCGTTTGCTATTCACCGAACCCAGTGAAGACAGCCTTCACTGGGATCGTTGATAATTTTATTCATGCAGTTAATTTTATCACACTTTATCCGCACGAAATTAATAAAATTACTGACGCTATTGCAATCACAGTCACCACTACCAAAAATATACCCGACACATGTCTCACTTCTCTAAGAGGTACCCACAGTGTTTATTGTTCGACCCTCGACCCACACGTTAAAATTTGAAAATACCCGCAATTATGTGATTTTTTTTATAATATCAAGTGACGGGACAAAAAAGTCGTGCACCTGATGGTAAGCTATACGCCTGTCCATAACAGTTGCAGTGCCACTCAGAGCTTTAAATCGCAAAGATCTGAGGCGCACTGCTACTGCGCCCGTCACCCTGAGACATAAGTCGCCGTTTCTATGCAAGAATTCGTGTCGTTTCTAGACACGAACTGTGTACACTGCCTCGGCGCCAGACTAGAAAAAAATCTTAAAAAGACTCGACGCGCTCTGCCGTTATTCTATGGGGCGCAATATCAGCAAACGAACGTTTATGCGCGTGGACTGGTGTTGCAAAGTACCGCTGTAGCACCACAAAGTTTATTGCGACTAATAAAATGTATGATTTACTTATACCTTTAGTAGAGGAACGATAAACATAAACGACGTAAATAAAGATAAACGACGTACTTTTGAGGCATGGAGAGAAATATTTATTATTCGTATTGAAGATTTTCAAGAAATGAGAAATACAGAAAAAAATGAAATATTTGAAAAACTTTTCCTCGTGTTGTCGCAATGTAAAATAGAAGGCACCAAAATCATCTTTTTGTTGCAAAATTGGAAGAATCCAGTAAATTCTGTTGTATCTTCTTTTGTTATAAATTTTTCTATACAAAATGATACTTAAAAAATGGTGACTGCATATTATATAATATGCAATCACCATTTTTTTTTTGCTTAGTAGTCAACATATTTCTTACCACAGTCGGTAGTAAAAAGACAGCTACCTGGAAGACTCGTTAATGCACTGACATGTTTACCCTACACACGTCTGCCCGAAAGCATTCGTATCGTGTATATACTCATCATTTTTTTGTCTGCGACAGACACGACATATTTTCGTAGCTAGATCCGACAAATTTATTGTCGTGTACAAGACCATTCTCATCTTTTCTGTAACAGAGACGTCGAATTTCTTAGCGTGTACACGCGCCGTAACCCTTCAAAAGCGGAATACGGCGATGCTGACACTGACGCAACATTAAATTGTTCATTTATTATACATCCCCTATTGTTGTATTTAATTACTTCCATCTGTTCTAAAACACTCGGACGTAATCCTTTTTCGTAATGTAAGATTTCATAAGTGTGGGAATCTGACGTGTTATGATAATGGCAAATGGTTACCGCCGCTTAATGACCCAACGGAAGAACGGTTCTCAATTGTGCGATCGTTGGTACATTAACTTTAATTTCGAAATTACGCACCATTGTGAATGTTTTGTAGTAAAGGAAAATACGTCGGAATGAAACGTGTTTCTCGAAGACGGTTCACAGATCGTGGAAAACGTGTAAATTCCCTAATCCGCATTTGGACAGTGTGGTGGATTATAATCTAGAGGTTACCTCTTCCATTGTCATTCCGCCTTTTTATCACCTTTTCTCTGGTACTTGACCTTGTTTTCAAATTTTGAATCGTTTTCTAATTCCGTTGCCCGTCATTCTCTCTTTATTTTCGTTTCGTCGTCACTCTCTGCTTAATCGCTGAAGCGAGTAATGCTGTTCGTCTAATTTTGATCCTTGCACCAGTTCTCAACCTTAATTATGTGCCAATTTTAATACCAATCTAACCTAGTAATATTGTATAACTCAGCCTTTTCGGGGTAAGTCTGTCTCACGTTTTTAGTATTTAAGAAGGGAGTGTTTTGTAACGTTGTACCTGTTTTTTGTACCCTTTTCTTGTTACAGCCTTTCTTTTTCTTTCGAATTTACTTATGAAACAAATTATGTGGACAGAAGTATTCTATTTTACTGGCTTAATCCTGGTCGCATATTAGCGGTTTACAACCTCTTCATCCCCCTCTCCTTATTGGAATACTGTGCTAGCAGTGTTATGTTTAATGGGTCCATGATAATGATGAATATAGACATGATTATATTGGCACTATAGATTGACCTTCGTAGTTATTCGCTACCTAAATGATTGTAACTAATTACAGGTTTCTTACCACGGTATGTTTTATTTTTTAAGTTTTATTGAATGTCATGATATTTGACCACCATGATATTCAATTATTTTTGCGAAATTACTCCACTAAGTAGTTTGTTATAATTATTAACACAAAGATCGAACACTAAGAAGAAATTCCTTCTATCCGGCTGAAATTGAAGTAATGTCTTCCAGCAAACCGTGTCCGATGCTGTACCGACTAAGCCACGGAACGAATGTTTTTTTTACCGTAGCGCCATTTAGAAGAAACCTATTTCTTCACTCAGCCAGGTACCTTTACAGCTACCAGCATCATAGAGATGTATTAATAATTATGACGGTATGATTTTTTTTGTTTTCCCTTATTTCGGACCGGTTTCACGCCCCATGGTCACGGGTTTGTAACACTTTAAGCCGAGCACACACTAGCGAGCTGTAACTGTAACTTGCAGATACAGTAACGAGGATCTAGTGTGTACGCTTGAAATAGTCTTCAATTAAACAGCTCACTGTGAACCGCACGTGTACCACTTGCGGCAAGCTCGCGAATCACGTACACACTATGGTTTTTGGTTACATAACATGCAACGGTTACAGTTACAGCTCGCCAGTAAGTACCCGGGTTAAGAGTATCGAGTCATTTCTTTTTATACCATTTCAAATGACGCGTATCCAAACTTTTCCTTTAAAATTAGTTGGCAGAAGAGCTCCTTGTGAAAGAGTTTGTCCAGGAAAATACTGCCACCTTATTTATTTCTACCACCAAGCAGTAATGTGAGCATTACTGCGTTCCGATTTGAAGGGTAAGGATGCTGGTGAAATTATAGGCACATGAGACTTGTCAACTTATGTCTCCGTGAGTGTCAGGTACAGTGTTCCTCAGATCTTTGCGATACAAACCTTTGAGTGGCACACGACTTGTTTGTCCCTTGATTTGGTATCATAATTGCTTTACAACAACGGTAGTGTGTTTAAAAAAAAATTGTGATTTTGTTTTCATTGGTTGTCTTTATTTTTAATCATCAAAAAGTATTTACATCACAATTTGGAACTATGTAAATACCTTTTCTCCCCATTGGAACTGGAGATCTCCTTATTGGAGATATTAAGGCGATGAGGTGCCCAAAATCGCTTAAATATGGTGTTTTTGTGTAAGTTTTTAGGCAATAACATAGCACGTGGAACTTTGAAAATAGTACACCCTGTAACACGTATCTTGAAGTATAGCTTGAAAATCCTAGAATATTGCTTATTGTCATAGGTAATACAAAAACTGGATTACAGTGAGACTCTGGTGGCTATTTTTTGACATATTTTTCTCGGACAAACCAAACTTGTTTACTACCAAATTCGGTGCGATTATTTAAATGGTACTTATCTTGATCCTGACACTTTATTTGTTTTAAATAAAAGACAAATAACAAATTTAGGAGTAAAAAGTAACTTTCGCCTACTAAAGTACGAGCTAAATATTTGCTTGCAAATTATGGACAGGCACTTAACAGTGTGAAAAAATGTCATACACAAAAAAATACGTAAATAAGTAAATATAATGGCCCCAATTCGTTGAAATCAAAACAAAATATTTTTAAAAAGTCAAATTTAGCCATTAGGTGAGCATAAAAAAAATATATTTTTGGTTGGATTAGAACCTAAAACACAAAGTATTCAAAACAAAAATGAAATTAGTGTTTGCGTCCTTGATTATTCAGTAAAATTTGAAAACTTCTGCTGCGTAGCTTGCGTTCGTGGGATACGTTGCCAGACCTCTGTTTTGACATTGTTTTGACATGGTTTTGACAAATTAATTTATATTCCCTATGTATTGTAATCGGCTGTCTACCGTCGAGCACGATACTTACGAGATATGTAGTTGGACATAGTTATACAAACTATGACCAACCCACAAAATGTCACTTTCGAGATAATTAGATTTTTGTAAAAACAGTGTGAAGAAATAAATAAGTAAGTTATTTGACACTAGAGATGCGCCGAGTACTCGTTTGCTACTCGGTAATCGGTGTACTCGGTGTACTCGGCCGAATAACTCGGTTCATGAGAAGAGTACTCGGTTAAAATAAAGTATCACAGCTATAGACATAATAAAGTAAAATCAACAATATATTTAAAATATTCAAAAGAGATTTATTACTAGAAATTGTAGACAATTGTAACAATTTCTAGCAATTTAGTAATTTAAAAAGAAAGTTTATATTATTAATATTGAAAATTTAACAAAGGCAAGTTATGATGTAGGAATATTTACAAGGCTTTCTGCGCGTTCAGGTAATAGTCTGTTCCTTTTTTCTTCGTACACATTAGCCGCTTCGGCAAATAACCGCTCGCTATACACAGTGCTTGCAGGTGCACATAAAAACACTCGTGCTAACTGTGCCAATTTTGGAAATTTTGTTTTATGCTCCGACCACCATTGGAAAGGACTCTGCTCTCGCGACAATAAACTTTTAATGACATATCAGCCATCATCATCATCATCGCGTTCCGGTTGTAATGAACCGAGTAACTCGGCCGAGTACTCGGCTCGGCAAATGTTAAACAGAGTAATATTCGGTACTCGGTTACTCGGTAAAACTTGTACTCGGTGCATCTCTATTTGAGATAAACGATGTACTGTAGCAGTGAGAACGATATACGGAAACTTTTATATTATATAGCAATAAAT